AATTTTAGCTCAAAGAGGAAAGTTTTGAAGAAACGTAAGTTGTCGCTATGTGACTTCAGAGTTAAGGCCCCAAAGAGGTGAATAGGGCCAGTTCATACCTCTCAAGAGCTATCGTTTCAGGGTGTCTGCAGAATCAGGAATACAACAGTGCATCAGTTAACATTATATTGATCCTTTGCTGGCTATTTATAAACCACAAATTCTAAAATTTTGTGTGAAAAGTTATTCTTGCTATCTTATGACTTGCAAGGTTCCACAACAAGATTAGGGCAGTATCCTATTACCCTATTTTCTGAGGCCAGAAAAATCAGTGTCAGTTGTAATTGGGATTGACCTTTTCCCCAGGAAAGTTACTGAACAACACAGGAATGATTAGCTGCTCTTGCTGTCTTCTACATGCATTTCTATATAAAAAAGAACAATAAACCCACCCATCCCATCACTAGTTTTACACATATGCTTACACCTTCAACCGTTTCTCTGAGGGCTTCCTGACCTGAGTCGCTATCTCATCTTCCTCTTGCACCAGATCTTTGTAAGAGCGCTTTTTATCTCGCTGTATCTTGCCAGTTGCCAGCCCCACGTCATCAACACTTCGGTCACTCTCTAGGAACTCTAAGATTTACGTGAAATGGGAAAAAAGGAAGAAATTAAATACTTCATTAAGGAATGACAGACATGTGGACTATGGACAAAATAAGATAACAGCAGACATTGACACATAATGATGCACAAAACCCAATAAGCACAGGAGCCTAAAAGATATCAGTCTGTGCTCTCTGGCCACAGGGATGGGGCTCAGTGCTCTAATGCTATAACACAATCACTCAAGAGTTTGTTTCTAATCCTTGTATATTTCTTCCTAAAGACAACTGGACTTAGAAATATTACCATGACTAAACATATCCCTATCCCTGGTATCCTGTTCCATTGACCTGGCAGGGAGAAGAAAGGCTGCAGTGGCACAGTTTCCAGTCAAGGGGTTTGCATTAGGAAATACCATCTGTTTCTCTCAAATTCTAATCCCAGCACTTTAGACCTGGAAGTCAAGGGCTTAGGATCCTTCAGCAACTTGGCCAGATTAAATTTAAGGGTTCCACAGCAGACTAGCTTCCTTTCCCACTCTGACTCCATGGCCTGGCAAGGGCTACAGAGGGTACTTTTTTTTTTTTTTTTGGCAACATCCTCTGAGATTATGAAGCAGTCATACCTTCTTTCTTCTTGGAGTCATCATAAGCCATGGTGGTCCTGCAGGAACCTGAGAATGTGTTGCCACGTCTGGGCTCCTTCCCCCGTTCCCATCTACAGGAAAAGGTCTGAGAAACAGAGAACGAAAATAACCCTCCCATAAGAAGAATCACAATGTAAAACGGGAAACTTCCTCTGAACCAAGCGAAGATTCTCTGGAAGACAGCGGGAAAAGAGGCTACCTTCTCGTCAGTTCATGCTCACCCTTCAAGCTTGACAGAAATTTTTTTTTTAAATTAAAATAGAGGTTGTTCTTCTGTTATTTTAAAGACATAATAAGACCACCTTTTCCTTGGAAAATCTCCAAATCGCTTAAGTAATTTATTTACAAAAACAGAAGGAGCGTGAGAAGATGGCCGAGTTTGATTTTCATGACACACAAAACTGCACCTGAACTTCTGTCAAAGCCATTTTTTGTCAGAAGCCAATGTAGCAAAGAATGAGATGTTTAAAGAGAAATTCCAAACCCTTGAGTCTCAGATGAAGTGAAGGAATAGAAGAAACCAGGTTGGAATCATTGTGCTACAAAATAATTATTTCAAATGTTTTGAAATAAAGGATTGCTCATTTTGTAGTGAAGGTGTACATCCTTCTGATGTGTTTCCTGACACTACCACTGCAGCCATTCCGAACGCCAGCCTGGGAGAGGGAACGGAAGAAAGCAATCCTGTTCGCTCGGGCTTCTGCAGCACCCCAATTCCTGTCAGCTCCCAGGTTTCAGGCCTCCTCTAACTGAGTCATTCTGTTCCATAGTTGCTGGCATATAGCAGGACAGTGCCTTTATGGAGTAGCTACACTCCGGTTCCCTCAGAGTAAACTGCTTTTGTTCTTCAGTCATCAGCCAGCTTAACATGGAAAGATTGACCGTCTTCTCATAAGCGATTAAACCAATTTCTCCTAACTGATTTTGTGCATTTGTGTACACATGGGTAAGTGTGCCACGAAGTATCGCTCCCAAAGCCCATGCAGCTTTTCTTGCTAGCTGCCACAGTGATCTTGCCATACTGGAATTACATTTGTAAACCTAAACAGCAGGGAACTTGTGCTCGTACATCCCTGCACATACCTCAGTTTTATAAATAATTGGCTGAGAATGTACATAATATTCATCCTATAGTGGTTACTTAAGTGAAACAACAAAGTTTCAACTAAATCAAGCTTGCAGGTAGACAGGAGATGTTTCTGTGTAAATTCGTGAGAATTAACGTTATTTCGTTAGGTTTTGGGCAACCATCCACCACAAAATGTTTTAAGCCCGTATTCTGACCACTATACACTGCTGGTAGCAAGCACAGCAATTTATAGGCAGAATTTATGTATACACACTAGAGCACTTCACTTTACAATAAAAAAGAGCATCTTGCCATTTGTGGGCTCACAATCTTGAACCAGATCTCATCAACATTTCATGTTTGGTTCTCAGTTGGCATATGGACTTCAGTGGGAACACACATGACATAAGCAATTACGCTCAACAAGACTAGAGCCTCATCTAGACACTGCTCAGCAAAACAAAGCTGAAGACAGTCACGCATGAAGCGATGACTTGGAGAAACTAAGATTTGCTTATGGTTACATGCATACTTTTTGCTCCCTTTTTAAATATTATTTGCGTGGCAGATGTAAAGGTTGATAGATAATGCCCAAAGGGAATTACAACCTAGACCTCTAACCCTGCAAATACAAAACATATCCTTCCTTAACTTGTCCTATACATGCTCATTAGCTTCCCCTGCCTCAGATCCTTTGGTTTCAGCAGTAATCACACAGGTTCAGCGGAAAATCCCTCTCCACGCCTCCCGTTCCTTAACGCGCACCCTTGCGGGATCAGGGCCACGCGCTGCTGTTCTGCAGCCCCCCAGACTCCACAGGGACCCGGCACTTCGGTCCCCCCGGGAGGCTGCACACCCCGCTGGCGACACACCGCGGCGGGTGGCAGCGGAGGGGCAGCGGTAGCTCGGGCCGGGCTCCCTCGCCCCATTCCCGGCTGGGGAAGCTGCGAGGGCGCGGGGGCAGGCAGGTCCCGCCGGGACTCCCGAGAGCGGCGGAGAGGTCAAACGTCGGCACCGGCCCGTCCGCAGACACGGGATCAGGATGAGGATGGGGATCGGTCCCGTCCCG